GGTCTTCTTTTCCCTTCTCCTATCTTCATGACTTTGCATTTGGCAGGGTTGAATTCGAAAAGCCAGTTGCTGGACCATGTGTCCAGCCTGTCCAGGTCTCTTTGAAGGCCTGCCTGATCCTCATCTGATTTAATTCTCCTCATTAACTTCACATGATCTGCGAACAGTGACACCTCTGAGTCTATCCCCTACATCATGTCATTCACATATACCAAAAATAGCACTGGTCCTAGGACCGACCCCTGTAGGACCCCGCTCGTCCCGGGTGCCCACTGTGATACCTCATCACGTACCATGACTCGTTGTTGCCTCCCTGTCAGGTATTCTCCGATCCACTTAAGTGCCTTTCCCGTTATACGCGCCTTATCCTCTAGTTTCTGCACTAATCTCTTGTGAGGAACTGTGTCAAAGGCCTTCTTGCAGTCCAAGAAGATGCAATCAAACCACCCCTCTCTCTCATCTCTTACTTACGTTACTTTATCATAAAACTACAGAAGGTTTGTGACGCAGGATTTGCCTTTCATGAAACCGTTGTGGTTGTCATTTATACTTTTGTTCCATTCCAGGTGCTCCACCACTCTCCTCCTGATAATCTTCTCCATGACTTTGCATACTATACACGTCAGTGACACGGGTCTGTAGCTTAGCGCCTCTTTTGTGTCTCCTTTTTTAAAAATGGGAACTACATTTGCCGTCTTCCATACCTCAGGTAGTTGCCCAGTTTCAAGGGATGTGTTAAAGACTGTGGTTAATGGGACACACAGCATTTCTGCTTCCTCTCTAGGGACCCACGGGGAGATGTTATCCGGTCCCACTGTGTGCGTGTGTGTGTGTGTGTGTGTGTGTGTGTGTGTGTGTGTGTGTGTGTGTGTGTGTGTGTGTGTGTGTGTGTGTGTGTGTGTGTGTAAGAAGATTGGTGACACTGTTATGAATGTGCCGCAGGAATCATAACAAATCAAATATTAATGTAATAGTATAAAATAATATAATAAGCTAAAACCCGGGAAAGAGAAATCTTACATAATATTTATAAGGTGAAAAATAATATGCCAAAGAATTAAGATTAGCGATTAAAATATAACAAATTGGACATCAGATGTATTCGCGATATTTGAAAAAAAATCAGAAAGCATGATTAGAAAATTAAGATTATTATACGTAATGGACTTTAATCCAAAGCATATTTATGAAATGGAACACCTTGAATTATGCAGAGATGAAGTTAAGAAACCGCTAATAAGGCAGTAGGTTTAAATAAGGCAGTAGGTTTAAAGGAATAGGTTTAAATAAAGCACTAGGTTTAAATAAAGCACTAGGTTTAAATAAAGCACTAGGTTTAAATAAAGCACTAGGTTTAAATAAAGCACTAGGTTTAAATAAACCACTAGGTGTAAGTAAACCACTTGGTTTAAATAAACCACTAGGTTTAAATAATGCCACATTTGTGGCATTATTCCTTAACAGACATTTTGATTCTAATTTCAAATAAAAATTTTCAAAAAATTCCGTTGGTATTTAAGGCTGTTCACAAAAGAATATTTATTTTATACTTTAATGTATAAAGTTACTAAGTAATGATACACACTTACAGATATACAATTCTTCACAAAGATCTAAACAGAAGAAAGACTAAGACATAAATAATACCAAGAGTGAGGACTGTGTTGAGCTCCCATATTAAATGATAAAAAGAAATAATACATTCTACAAGCGTGGAGTTTCAATTGTCAGCCCAAATATGACAGTAGCAAATACACTTTTAGCAAATACACTTGTAGCAAATACACTTGTGGCAAATACACTTGTAGCAAATACACTTGTAGCAAATACACTTGTGGCAAATACACTTGTAGCAAATACACTTGTGGCAAATACACTTGTAGCAAATACACTTGTAGCAAATACACTTGTAGCAAATACACTTGTAGCAAATACACTTGTAGCAAATACACTTGTGGCAAATACACTTGTGGCAAATACACTTGTAGCAAATACACTTGTAGCAAATACACTTGTAGCAAATACACTTGTGGCAAATACACTTGTAGCAAATACACTTGTAGCAAATACACTTGTAGCAAATACACTTGTAGCAAATACACTTGTAGCAAATACACTTGTGGCAAATACGCTTGTGGCAAATACACTTGTAGCAAATACACTTGTGGCAAATACACTTGTAGCAAATACACTTGTGGCAAATACACTTGTAGCAAATACACTTGTGGCAAATACACTTGTAGCAAATACACTTGTGGCAAATACACTTGTAGCAAATACACTTGTAGCAAATACACTTGTGGCAAATACACTTGTAGCAAATACACTTGTAGCAAATACACTTGTAGCAAATACATTTGTGGCAAATACACTTGTAGCAAATACACTTGTGGCAAATACACTTGTAGCAAATACACTTGTAGCAAATACACTTGTGGCAAATACACTTGTGGCAAATACACTTGTAGCAAATACACTTGTAGCAAATACACTTGTAGCAAATACACTTGTGGCAAATACACTTGTAGCAAATACACTTGTAGCAAATATATTTGTGGCAAATACACTTGTAGCAAATACACTTGTAGCAAATACACTTGTGGCAAATACACTTGTAGCAAATACACTTGTAGCAAATACACTTGTAGCAAATACACTTGTAGCAAATACACTTGTAGCAAATACACTTGTAGCAAATACACTTGTAGCAAATATATTTGTGGCAAATACACTTGTAGCAAATACACTTGTAGCAAATATATTTGTGGCAAATACACTTGTAGCAAATATATTTGTGGCAAATACACTTGTGGCAAATACACTTGTAGCAAATATATTTGTGGCAAATACACTTGTAGCAAATACATTTGTGGCAAATACACTTGTAGCAAATACACTTGTAGCAAATACATTTGTGGCAAATACACTTGTAGCAAATACACTTGTAGCAAATACACTTGTGGCAAATACACTTGTAGCAAATACACTTGTAGCAAATACATTTGTGGCAAATACACTTGTAGCAAATACATTTGTGGCAAATACACTTGTAGCAAATACACTTGTAGCAAATACATTTGTGGCAAATACACTTGTAGCAAATACACTTGCAGCAAATACACTTGTAGCAAATACACTTGTGGGAAATACACTTGTAGCAAATACACTTGTAGCAAATACACTTGTAGCAAATACACTTGTGGCAAATACACTTGTAGCAAATACATTTGTGGCAAATACACTTGTAGCAAATACACTTGTAGCAAATACATTTGTGGCAAATACACTTGTGGCAAATACACTTGTAGCAAATACATTTGTGGCAAATACACTTGTAGCAAATACACTTGTAGCAAATACATTTGTGGCAAATAAACTTGTAGCAAATACACTTGTGGCAAATACACTTGTAGCAAATACATTTGTGGCAAATACACTTGTAGCAAATACACTTGTAGCAAATACATTTGTGGCAAATACACTTGTGGCAAATACACTTGTAGCAAATACATTTGTGGCAAATACACTTGTAGCAAATACACTTGTTCAAATACATTTGTGGCAAATACACTTGTGGCAAATACATTTGTGGCAAATACACTTGTGGCAAATACATTTGTGGCAAATACACCTGTAGCAAATACACTTGTGGCAAATACACTTGTAGCAAATACACTTGTAGCAAATACACTTGTGGCAAAGAAATTTTGACATGTACAGGGTTTTACCTACTGCAGTCTTCATCGGAGACTAGGGGCTTTATCAGATATTGGGGCTTTATCAGACACTTGTGGCTTGATCATACACTGTTAGCTTTATCAGACACTGGGAGTCTTTACCAGACACTGAAGTCTTTATCAGACACTGGGAGTCTTTATCAGAGACTGTGAGTCTTTATCAGAGACTGTGAGTCTTTATCAGAGACTCGGAGCTTTATCCCACACTGGGGATTCGCATAAAATATTCTTTGCTACAAGAATCTTTCTATTACATTCTACAAACCATATGTATAATATCTGACACCGTCCCAAACATGATATACACATCTAACTCATTAAATATTAAAAAAAAAAAAAACGAAATCATATGCATAAACTTTCAAAGCTTTTTTTTTTTCTCTTCTCCCGTGACTGCAGTTCCACCTGACATCGTTGACCAGGAGAGCTCTGGTGATGTCATAGCACAAGAAGGAAACGACATCAAGCTGAGGTGTAGGGCGCGGGGATCACCTAAACCCACAGTTACTTGGAAACGAGAAGACGGACAGCACATTACTGTCAACAAATCTACTACAGGTGAGTTATGGATGATCAGGGGCAGCCAGGGTGAGGTCATGGTGTCACAAATGAAGTCAGAGGGTTGTCTACGCCCACACGACCCTTGGTAAGAAGGCAATCTGTGCATTATTGACAATGAATCTTCTGTCTAGGATCAGGTGTGGAGGCTGACAGTGCTAGAGGTTACGCCAGGAAATGTACCTTCGAGAAATAATCCACACTTAGAAAAGAAAATTTAGATGATATTTCGGCTTGTCCTGGACCATCGTCAAATCACAAGACAAGTAGGAAAGAGGGAGGGGAAGTAGTGGTAGTAGTAATGGTAGTGGTGGTCGTATTAGTAATAGTAGTTGTGATGATTTGTGACTTTACCGCTGCTAATATCGTCTTGAGTTCACGTGTACCCAATGCAATTATTTTCAGCAAAGTTAATAATAATAATAATAATAATATTATTATTATTATTACTATTATTATACTTATGTCGATGGGCTAAATCCGAAGGAATGGGAGGCAATCAGGTTTGCTGAAAGGGAGGACAGCTTTAAGTCCATGGATTCTGAACAAATACTGGTACAGTACAAGTAATCCACTAATTATATTAGTGGTGCGGTGGACGGGATGATACAGTAGGCGACTTGGTGGTAAACCAAACACAGCTTGGAGAATATAATATATATATATATATATATATATATATATATATATATAATATATATATAT